TTTTGGATTTTTGGGAGGATTAAAATTTGAAAATGGGACATTTTGAAATTTTCTGGATAATTTTTAAGGTGACGTTTCACGCCCTTTTCAAATTTCAAGTTTCTAGCTCATCTAGCTCATCTAGATAGTGGTTTAGAATTTGTATCTCTTAGTTATATATGCGGGAGTATAGGCCTAGTATTTAGAAGACCTATTGGGAAATCTGGCCCTGAGAGTAACATTTTAACATGAGAGAATATACATTGTATAAATAACTTTAATCTACACCCAAAACAAGAATGTAAAGTTTTTTGTGCTCTTTAGGAGGTGCAAACATTTGTGGAGGAGGAATCAATTTAAAATATTTTGCATGGAGATAACCATTTTCTTTGATACATAGAAATATTTTAGGATGGAATTGTTGCATTTATTTAACTAAGAAATAGATGCAGACAAAAATAGTTGTGGTTAAGTTCTTTAATTTTTTTAAATCGTTAAGATTTTGTGTTCCTTTTACACACTAAAAAATGTCTTCTTCAAAATTAAGTTAAAATATTTACTTGCTTGTAACTTATGTAATAGTTAATACATATGCATATAGCACCAATTAGCATCTAAATATTTTATGCATGCAATTTAATGTAAAGATGACAATTTAAACAAATAAATAGGTTAAAGCTAAAGTAACTTTAATAACATACAATTTGTTAGTCTTCCTTTTTGGATGATAGCAGCAAAAGTGTTTTTTGAAGTGATACTTCTTAAACTTGGCAACTTTAGCATACAAAAAGTAAAACATTCTCCATACTATTATTAACTCTTCCCTTCCAATGTCATTGATTAAATCGACCACTTGATCAACAGTCAAAGATCTTATTTCATCACTAAGATCAAGAAGAATAAATAACACAGGTAAATACATAGTGAGATGAGAGATGAATGACCGACACTACTACACCACTGACTCTGTGCAGTGTATGAGATCACCTGCATCAAGTCTGCAATCTTGCAACCTCAGCAATGCTCCTTCAGCACAACCCATATCAACTGCATATCAACTGCATATCCAACTGCATACCATTGCTTTTTACAAGGTTACTTCTGTCAAACTATTACATATTTTTATTTATTTATTTATTATCATCACATTACATCAATGATTGACGGGTGATTTGTCATAAAATCCATTGTAACAAAACAACAATCATAACAATAAAAACTTAAAATTAATTATACATTTGTTAGGAAATCTTCCAGTGAAAACAATACCTTCTCCAGAAGCCATATCTTAAGTGTTTTTTTTTTTTATTTTGATAAGCGATCAATTTCTTTTAATGTTGGAGGCAGCTTATTATGAATTTTGGGTCCCATATTGTGGTGATAAATGGAATAATTTTAGTCCATGTTGCATTGGTTTTATTAATTTTTGTATCTTGTATCATGGTTGTGAGGGGGCTGACTCTCCATAAGTGTATCCAAGTTACTTGTGACCATCAGAGAGATATAATACATATAAGAGCTGTATAAAGTGAGAATTTTGAATTGACCGAAATATTCTTGGCAATGTGTATCTGGAGGAACCTTGGTTATATGTCTAATCAACCTTTTTTGAAGAATAAACACTTTTTAGCTTTCACTAGACGATCCCCATAAAATAAGTCCGTAATTCATAATTAAAGCGAAATAAGCATGATATACTGCAATTTGTGTGTCAAAATTTGTTGTATCTCTAATTACTTGCAACACAAATACAGCTGAATTAAGTCTTTTTGATACATTTTTTTTGTGAGTTTGCCAATTTAAATGTGCGTCTATTTTCTAGATGCAGAGAATTGTATCAGCTGTTGACACCACTAGACCAAAAGCCGGGTCTAACCGTTATAGGACTGGCTCATACATGGGCACTGTGCACAAGTCAAAAACAAGTCACCAAAAAAACGTGCAATAATCACCACCAGGCCTACGCCGATTCCCCACTCTCCTAGGGGGTCGTTGCTGACTACGCAACTCAGGCTTTGTCATGACTATCCAATAGTTAAGCCCAGAGTGCCTAACAGTGAGCTACACGACGACCTGCCAATAAAAACCACAACGCGAGTTATCACTAGGCGGGGTGCACTCGGCCACTATAATCCAATACACGACTCCAATGCCCAAGCTAACAACCGAACAGTTCACTCAGTAATAATACCATATAATAATACAAGTATACTATAGGCAGAGTGACTAAACCTCTATTAGCTGGTCTCAATAAATACGAAGCCAAACAAGCAAAGCTAATTGCCAATTGCACTACTATTAAATTATTAAGAGCTACTTAGTAGCGGAGAAATAAATATTAAATACTTTCCAAACACTAGATAAATATATCTTATAGCCGGTACTACGCTATCCAAGCTATCAAGATAACGTGTTGGATTAATAAACAAGCTGTTCAGGTTAAATTAAAATCATAAAATGATTTACCAATAAAAACCCCACTACTACTACTACTGCTGCTATCAACGTTATATTAGTTAACTGGGCTTCTGTTAATAGGCTAATAAAATTAGCTACTAGCCAACTGGCCGCGTGCTTCCAACTACTCACGCCAAATCGTGCAGCCTAGGTTTTTCGGGCCTCAGTGTTACCGGTAATATAATTAACTCTTGTCACAACGCAAAATAATATCTACTAGAGTCGATAAAATCTCACCACTAGCGGGTCTCTAACCAACTCAACACCAACACTTGGCACTCTCACACCACCAACGTACTCCGACACCACTGTCACTCGTACCCGACGACGTCTTCACTAGACACAAGCTTACTATTCAGGATCCACAACTCAAATGTCCATCCTAGGCTATCCTGAAAATCTAGGATACCGGAGGCTTATCAGAACTGATAAGCCGGGTCAAAGGGCGCTAGCTCGCTTCGCCGCTGCCGCTTGTTGATGTCAACAATAGGTGCACAGCCAAATAGCAAATATTTACTCCCCTAGGAAAAATAACTTGTTACACCCCCCACTTACATAGGGATGAAAAAAAATAATTCAATAGTGAATCCTACACCACAGGTCTCAAAACTCAAAACAAAGAAAAACTCTTCTACTAGCCACTACCAGCCAACATGGTGCTGAATGATTTGGCATAAGGAACCAGACGGGGATTTCCATTGCAAGGGCCTTCGGGGTCTTCGTCACCAATTTTGACACTGTCTATGCGGCCACCACATGGCCAGAACAGTCATCATCCATGCCCATTCTTACTACCTCTGTCCCACATGTCACTAATCCGAGGTCTCGGATGACATCCATACCCAGAATCATATCCGTGGTAAGAGTGGGAACGTACAAGGCGTCTCCAATCCACCATCTTCCCGCAGCTCCTCCTGCCAACCGAAACGAATACTGGGCCCTCGACAGTGACCCATCTGCAATCCTTAGAGGAGCGGGTTTCTTAAAAAGCTCTACCCCAACACTAGTTTGAATTTGATAAATAATTCTTGTTAAATCTAATAAAAGTAAACAGTGAGTGACCTGATATGGATGCTTTACATACCTTTTACTTCATGAATTATTTAATTGTAACACTTTAACTAATAAATACATAAATCACTTTATACATGTTATATACATGAATAGTGTCAAAGCATAAAGAAATAAACATGAACTAAAAAAAAACAATTTTTATTTGTATCCTGTTAATTGTAACAACACGTATATTATTGCTATTTAAGAATTTTTTTACTAACACGTTCGCTAAAGCCCATTGATGGGGGCAGGCATAGCCCCAGTGTGGCGCAGCCCACAGCGTTGAATAATCCCGATTGCCGGGTGATTAGTTTTCAAATTTCGGTCTGATGGATAGCAAATAACGTGCGATGACGAGAATCAACGTAGTTTGCTTAAACACCCACAGATAGCAACACTGCTTGTTCCCATTGTACAGTATTGCCAATTGGAGGGAGGAAAACAGGATAAAAAGTTGATTTTTAAGCTTGCCAGACGGGAAATTTACTACCAACCTACACCACGACAAAAAGCAAGTCACACACTACACGCTAACACCTTCGACCGACGCTAGAGCAAAAACGAAGATATACGAAAGGCATTGCCGAGCGTTCCCGATCAGGAACGGCTGCATACAATATGTTTTTATCTACAGTATACTTCACACTCTAACTGCAATTATGCCTAGTTAAAATTGATAACTATTGTAGTTTATGCTATTTCAGGGAGTTGAATAAAAAAGATGATCAAGACTACAAAGTTAATTTTTCCTCTGAATCTGAAAGTGATACCGAGAGTGAGAGTAAGGCAGAGGAGTTGAACCTAAGTAAATTTAGTAATTTAACACACTCACTATAGAGGACCAACACATTCCACTAAAAGTGAGACACATTGTAGACATAGGACATGTTATGAAGCAGCTAGAAAGCATAGGGAACCATTCTGCTGTACCATGGATAAATGCAAATACTGTACCACAGAGAAAGCTTAAATGGGCTTTTTGCAACATTGTTTTATTATTGTGACAACTGTGATAAGGAATAAGCAGCAACTTCTGACCCTATTGACCGGAAAAAGCAAGTAAACGATGCTCCTGTATGGGGAGCTTAATCTGCGAAAAGTTTTCAAACTTATTGTTACTGTTTTACAGATGGCTTTGACACGGAGAGAAAAATTTACTTACGAGTGTTTCCACGATCATGAATGACGATAACATTATTACTGATATCACAGCAGCATTTACTTATGGGTGTTTCTGTGACTTTTAGTGAAGACCATGATATTGCCAAGTTGCCGCGATTGTGAATGACAATCACGATATCTCCAAGACTGAAACAATTACTAACAGATGTTGCCGCAACTTTGACGATCATCGATTTACATAAATTACATAAAAATAAATTATTTCCCAGTAGGCCTTCACAGGCCGGCCGTATAGAGCCATAGGTTGGAAATTACTGGTCTAAATCACAATATAAAATATTAATATTTCTACAACTTGTTATTTATAAAAAAGAAATCAAACTTACCCAAGTGAAGAGGAATAGGATTCATTGGTGTCACTTTTATCTCGAGAGCTGGTGTAAGAATCATCAAGTCCAGAAGTTGACCGGTATGATGAAGTATAAGTGCTCCTGAGAATGAAATTATACCAGTTAGGCCTAAGACATACATTAATTGTAAAATGCCATTTCAAAAAATAGATATCAAAACATCATTACTGCTCAGTTTCTGTTGGTTCCATTTTTGAACATTCAACCAACTCAACCAGTCAATGCTAAGCCTTACCTTACTCAAATCAAATCATCTTTATTTTACTCAAAGTAATCTGTATAATGATGAAAGAAAGTGATGTTTTCTAAGAATACAGGGTGTTTTTAAAAGAATGCCGGGATTTTAAATGGTAATTGCTTGGATACTATTCAAGGTAACTAAACGTTTTATACGTCAAATTGAAGCTAAAGTAACTAAGTTTTGTTTCCCATGTAGCAAGGGAGGAAACTTTGACCTTGGCATGCGTAAAACAGGTGCGGGGTGATAGGCCGCTATTGTGACTCATACGCCTGACGCCAGTGGCCAGTACGACGTACGGCGCAACAGAAGGCTCAGAATGTAATCTGTAGTTCGCAGAGTTTGTATCTATTTCTAAATTAAACTAAATTTAAATCTATTTGATGATAAAGAAACTTGAAGCTGGTTTAATGAGTTACGTGGCTCCGGAGTGTTTTGTAAAGACATTCACCTGGCCAGCTAAACCAAGCGATGACATAATCAAAGAAATCCGACAATTCTAGATCAGAATCCCGAAAGAATCGATTGCCCGACGAAATCTCTAGTTTAACAAACCTAAATTGGTCACTTTATGATGTTATCTATAAAAGATAGAGTTTTTGTGCCGAAAAAGATTCAGTTAAGACCCCCCGATCGCCCTAAACGTAAAGACTATGCCAGTTTTACGCTCATATAAGATTGATGAAAATCTGAATTTTATTTAATCATTCCGAATTGTATGAAAGAATGAGAAAAAAACTTTATTCTTTTCCCTTCAATTTGACGCTTAAATCGTTTAATTATCTTGAATAGTCCCCGAGCAACGACCGTTTGAAATCCCGGCATTCTTTTAAAACACCCTGTATAAATTAAACAAAACAAATAATATAACCACTAAAATTCAACAGAACAGTATGTCTTAATTTTATCGGCAACTTTAAGAATCTTTTATAGTATAGGGAATATTCTACTTTACTATTAGTAGACATTTCACCGCTCTTCTAAATTGGTCGGTGTTCAGGTCCACTTTAAAGGATTCAGGCAGCAGGTTAAAGAACTTAAATACAGTTATAAAAAAGGTATCTTTAAAGGAATTTTGTCTTGTGTTTATGTAGTTGAATATTGTTCCTATGCCTGAAAGTGTAACTGCATTTTATGGCATTGCGGTTGAAAAAGATGAAAATATCTTTTAAAAAAGACAGACAACCAAAGACTGTGTATGGATGGAAATGTAAGAATTTTGTGTTCCTTAAAGAGAGGCTTGCAAGAAGTGCAACAAGATATTCTAAATGTGCCTCTTATATCTTTATTCTGAAGACAGAAAACAAACTTTTTTCTAACACTCTCACAGTCCTAGACTGCCACTAAATACGACAATAATGGATAAATCAGTCCATAATGGGCACTCAGCGTCACACAAGAATTGGTACCTAACTTTGAAAGACCTCATATTACAAAAGTTCCTGAGCTTTAGGGCTCTACAGTATATGGTCATAAAAGTTGAGCAATCCAAGACCAAATCAAGAAACTTGGCAGTGGTGCCAAGTTTCACGAAGAGATCACTTTGTCGCCAAGCGAAATAGTCAGCGGAGCTTGTTTTTTTGAGCTGTTGATATTGAATTGGACCGTTTTTGTTTTTATTACAGTTTAGATGAAGCTTGTTGCTTTGAAACCATTGTGAAAACCCTGTTGGAACTCTAAAATGCTAATAATGTCTCTAGATGAGCCACATCCCTGGCTGAAACACTATGCCGTACTCTGAGACGGGTGTGACGTGCAATTTCGACCTCGGACAAAATTGTACTGTAAAGTCCAGGGTTAGTAGTAATAATTAAGTTTAAATATTTGGGCTCAGATATGGTCGTTAAGCATCAGCTTTAAGTAAATGACACAATTATCACTGCCCGAGTTAAACTTTAATCTAAACAAATTAGCAAATTTCCAAAATAATTGGTGTTGATTTTTTAAGTGAAACACTGGTTGTAACGAACTGAAATTATTAACTTTGAAAACAAAACAAATCTTTACTTAATGGGTATACTGTGTTTCACTTTAGGATGTAATCCAAGATGCTTAAAATAAACTAAATCAATAATTTCACGAGTGCAGGGGCTATTTCGCTCTTGGTCCTAGTGTATGACGCTACCAGAGTTACTCCACTGCTGGCTTATTACCGGGCTATTCTGCTCCAGGCCTAAGATTCTCTACTACAAGGGAGAGATGTTGCTGACTATTCGCCTAGTGGTTGACTGACTGTACGCTGTCTTGAGCAGTATTTATAGGGGTCGCGGCACACAGTTGTGTACAGTTGTATACACCTGACTTCTCACTTTTGTCGATTACACGATCAGAAACGTTTAATTTATTAATTGTCTTGTTGTTGGTCTTGAACGCCAATTCGATACCATGTTTTTTCAATTCTTTTGTAAGTGAGTACTGAATTGAATGTGAGTACTCTACACACACATACTTCTTCTTTTGTGGTTGGACGTCTCCAGACTTTTTGTTTTTCATCTTACTTAATAACCTGTCAATCATATTGCTGTTGTACCCATTAGATAGCGCTATGCGTTTGATCAAATTGAGTTCTTTATTAAAATTGTTGTCTGACATTGGAACATTTAATAATCGATATAACATACTATTATAAGCGGCATATTTCTGTGATGGTGGATGGTATGACGTGTTATGGATGGTTTGGTTTGACGTGGTTGGCTTACGATAAATGCTGAAATCCAATCTATTGTCCAATTTTTCTATTGTCAGGTCTAGAAAATTCATTTTGTTTGACTCCTCGATTTCCATCGTGAATTTCAAATTTGGGGCAATATTGTTTAGATATTTGTGTAATAATTCCAGTTGTCGGACGTTACCGTTAAACAAAAGAATGGTGTCATCTACATATCGGTGGTACTGCAGTATTTTTTGTTTCTGTTTGTTACGATCTGATAGTATAAATTCATTTTCGATATAATTCAAATAAATGTCAGCGAGTATGCAAGATAGAGGGGAGCCCATTGCTAGGCCCTCAGATTGTGAGTAGAATTTTCCTTCAAACTTAAAATAATTCTGTTGGAGTACTTCTTTCAGAAGGACTAAAAATTCTTCTTCTTACGAAAGAATTGAAAAAACATGGTATCGAATTGGCGTTCAAGACCAACAACAAGACAATTAATAAATTAAACGTTTCTGATCGAGTAAACGACAAAAGTGAGAAGTCAGGTGTATACAAAATTAAATGTGCTAGTTGCCCGAGCTTTTACATAGGAAAAACTGGACGGACATTCGGAACCAGGTACAAAGAACATCACCCATGTCCAAGAGCCGACAAACAAAAATCATCCTTTGCGCAACACCTGGTTGATAAAAACCATGACATGTATGATCTGAACACTGGCCTCGATATACTCCACACAAGCAAGAAAGGAAATAAATTGGGCACATAAGAAGAATACGAAATTTACAGAGCCTATACAGAAAATAATTTTGATGACACAATATTAAATGACAAACTACAATATAAATCACACATCATTTTCAATAGTATTTTAGACCAGGACAAGAGACAAAAGGCAGGAGTACAAAGGTCAGCTGATAACACCACTACGCAAAGAACGATGCAGGTTTAACCTCCAGTCGGCATCCAGTTCAGATCGTGGCAATGTCAACCGGTACCGTGTGTACGACAGGCCTGTTCGTTGTGTTTTCGTTAGTAATTGTAAAAGTAAAATGTTATTCGTGTTCGTGTTTTGTGTTTCAACTATGACGACGCTACTTCAGCTGAATGTTCAACGTCTGACGATGGCATTATAATGCCGAAACGGCCGTAACTCAAGTTACAACAGATTGAGCTGTAGACGAAGGTAAATACCTATTTTTAATTAACTAATGACCCTGCGCGGTCCACTTGAAATCAAATGAACGCTCGTTTTCTGATGTCCTAATATTTTTACCATTACACTGGGACCCCTTTTATAACATTGGAACAGACTATTAAGTAAACTAAACATAGCTCACCTTTCAAATAAAAAAAAAAATTTGAATTAAATAGTAACTTTGACCAAGGCTGAAAAATGTGGTATTTTGGAGGCAGGCTGATGTTTTCAGTGAACTAACACAAAGGGTCACCTTGTATTTTAAAATGAGGAGAGTAAAAAGAAGAAAAAGTGGTACTTATATTAAAATTGGATGTCCTTTTATAGTCTATTAGGTGTAGGCCTGATCAACAATAGGTAGATATATTATTTAAAAGCTTTATCATTTAGTTATTATCATTTAATTTTTATTTCTTACAAAGGTATACTGAACTCTGTGTCGTTTACCTGACATTGTTCATTCAAATTTACGAGAAGGTGTTGTAATTTTTACCAACCCTGCAGCATTTACGGTCAAAATATATAAATTATAGACATTCATGTTACAATATTTAACTGGTCCTTCATTTTTTTAATAAAACAAAAATTAAAGGCTCATTTTAAAAACTACCTAAGAATAGAATGTTTAATGTATAGATTTGATATTACTAAAAAATATATAAAAAATGTTAAGACTGCATTTTATGTTCATCTATTCTGTGTTTCTGTCATGTTTTGTTGGTTGTTGGTTGCATTGGTCAAAAGTCCTTTACAACCAAAGCGTTAACACCAGAGTTAGGAACACGAGTTTACGATTCAAATATACTTTATTTTGCTTGTAAATAAAGGCATTTTAAATTATTTATTAAATATAGGCCTTTTTATTTATTTATTAAAGATCTTTTTATTTATTATTTATTTATAACAAATGTTCCTAAAAAAACAAGAAACAATACTTTTTGAACAAACACATTTTGATGTTGGAAATAGTTTTTTAGTGTTTACAACAACTACAACTTCCCACCAGAAGTCGGTAAAGATCAAAGGGTGTTCCAAACATTAGGAAACATTTAACATTTGTTTTTGGACCAAATGTATCTGTACTCCTACGCTGTTCACAACACTTCCCTGCTACCCACGGTGCTTATCCACCACCACTTCACTACCCCCCAACCGAAGAGCACTGACCTCCTGTTCTCAGGAATGGTGATGTTTCCAACAAAATCAAAGAAAAGTGCACTATCTGTTGTAAACTTTTATTTTAGAAACAAGTGTTACCAACAAAAAGTTCCAAACATTTTGTTCCAAACTCCGGTGTAAACGCAGCTTTACAACTGACAACAATCTATATTCAACTTACATTATCTGAACTGGATAAATATTACAAAGTACAAAGCAACAAGTGGGAAATGAAGGTGTTTAGTATCAGTATCAATTAAGGACTTGAAATGTGCTTGAGTACTTGGAGTGAACAATTGTCTGGGTTTCAAGTGTCGTGTGATTGAAGAGAATCTGACTGATATTAAGTCATTCATCTTCACATCTGACAACTTCATTGAAAACATGCTTTCATATCATTTTTTACAATCCTCTCATACATTTGTTACAAACAACACATTTTAAACTTTTTTTTTAAGGACACTTTTTAGTGTCCTTAAATATCCTATTAATTGGAAAATTGGTGTCTTCCAAAACTTCCTGTGTTAAAATTAAAATATATTACACCATCCACACACTTGGCTATTCCAAACAGTCCAAAGCCCAGTACAATAAAAAAATTGAAATTCGTATTTTGAAAATGATATTGATAAGGTACTACAACAATTGGGATCACAATTGAATAAATTAACTAAAAATTGAAAAAGTAGTGACAACAAAGTAACTTAGATTCAACGAATGTAAATATTCCTCCTCCTCCTCCTTCTTCTTAGCCTGAGACCAGTAACACTGGATAAGCTGCGCCCAAAGTAATTTATATATATTTACAAAGGCTATTTACAAAACTTCCAAGATGGAGTTATACGTTTTCCACAGATAGCGTGGACAATGGTCTAGTGTTATCGAAGTTTACTTCGAAAAACTCTTTCAAACTATAGTAGGGCTTTTCTCTCATGAGGCTCTTAAAGATTTGAGGCAAACTTGTTACCCTCAAGCTGCTTGATTATGTCAGGGAGATTATTGTAGAGCTTTAGGGCCTAATTTAGGGCTTCTAGCTTTAGGGTTTCTTCCGGTTGTAATGAGAGTCGTGTCATCGGCAAATCTTAAGGCCCTTCCTTCCAACTCTAGGTTGTTTATGGCCACTAGGAATAAAACCAATAAAATAAAACCAGGAATAAAACCAGGTTGTTTATGGCCGGTCCCAATACTGAGCCTAGGGGCACGCCATGCTCAACTTTGAGTGCCTCGGACATTGCACCCCCACGGGAGATATTTTGATAACAGTCGTCCAGGTGCGAAGCAAGTTTCGAGAGGGCCTTGTCTCCACAACCGTAACCCTTCAGCTTATCTAAAAGGATCTGATGAGATACAACATAAAAAGCCTTCGACAAATCTTACAGAGTCAAGGCCACAGACTCAGTAGCTTCAAAAGCGTCTTGTATTACCTCTGTTAGGTCTGAAACTGCAGTAACCATGTTGCAGGTCTGAAAGCAAGTTGTTCTGTTCAAGATAATCTACTACCTGCCGCTTCATAACAGTTTCAATATCTTTAGTTAGGTATAATGGATATAGGACGGTAACTGGACATACTGGAAGCAACGCCTTTCTTAAAAATAGGCACAGTACGTGAGACTTTCCTGCTCTTTGGAAAAATTCCAGCATTCAGGCATAGGTTTATGACTCTGCAAAGTGGAAAGGCAATACTGCTGATTATGGATTTAAAAATAGTTGCATTCATTCCGTAAATATCTGGACTTTTTGAGGGTTTTAGTTTATGGACAATTGCCTAGAGTTCATCAGGAGTTATATCCCTCCAGCAAAGCAAAGTTGGTCCATGCGTTCTGGTTGGGTGAGTAGTATTCTGGGGGGATTGGTCGAAACTATTTACAATATTTGAGACACTGTTTAGAAGAAAACAATTGAATTCATCCGGACTAGCTTTACACTTTGAAGTAAGGGGCTAGCTGGTATCTCTGTTTTTGTTTACCAAGTTCCAGAGTGCCTTGCACTGATTTAGAGAGCAGTCAATACTTTGGGCATTAGCAATTTTCTTAGCCTCGTCAACTTTCCGCCTATACAGTTTTTTGGCTCTAGTAGAGCGATCTAAGGTGAATTATGGCTACCTTACAAGTTTCTAGCTGTTTCTAGCAATAGGTAGGTGTTATTTTGACCTAGACAAAGTAAAAAAGTAAAAAATAGCTTGCAGTATATGAATCTAGCTTTTAATTCACTGAACATTTTTTAAATTTTATTTTAAATAACGTTTATTGGCTAGTTGACTTACTCATGAGTCATAAGGTCATTTTACAATTTGTTATACTTAATGACAAACAGCTAGCAAACTTCAACTAATTGGTTTTACATTACCCATCATCGGTTCCAAAAGATTGGAACTGATGACAGGTAATGAAAAACCAATTAGGAGGGTTGTAATGTAAAACCGAACTTATAAGCGCCGAACTTCGGTCCAAGGGGTCCCGGGTTCAAATCCTGCCAATTCACCAATGGATTTTATCTAAGTGATAACGCCGCAACCCCTAGGTCTAGCCTGAAATAATGTGAAAAACAATCCCAGGCTCGTGCCTAGCTTCCTAGGACAAAAAAAATTTAAAACCAATTAGTCAATAATGCTGTTCCAGGGCGAATACAATGAATTCTAAACTTCAACTGGTAACATCGTACAACCATAAATGCATGAATGTGGCTGAAGACTGGACCAGACATGTGCCAACACTAATACAACAAAACCAGTTGATTAAATGTACCTACTGCAATCCCAGTCAGGCTTTGAGAATGGCGTAATGACGTCAGAACATAAAAACATACGTGTGAAGTATGAATATTTTAGGACCTGCTTGTCACATAAGATCCTATGTATACACAGTTTGAATATGTCTTTGTTTCCGTTTTCAATGTTAAGAAATATCTAGGTGATCCTAGATTCCAGAAGAAAGAATCCTTGCAAAGAGATCTCTGGTAAAACGCAATGTAACTCTGATCAACTGAGTTTAACACTGTTTTAATTCACATTGTTTGTACAGCCTGGCCACTTTTTCAAAATTCAAAAATAATCTCCAGGATCTTCTGTTGGCATATCCACTCTTCTCTACTTACCGAAGATTTCTTCACCATCCCACAGAACATTGTAAGTAGTCATTTTAAGTAGGCTAGTAAGTAGAAGCAAAAGCTTTCTTGTTTGAGTTTGTCAGTTGTCACTAATTGTCAGTTTGTGCATGGGTTTCACCCTGCTTTGCTTTGTTTTGCTTTTACTCTCTCTTTTTTTTCTTTTTTTTTGCCTTAGTGTTTTGTTGCTTGAATCCTTTTAGACGGCCTGCCTTTTTGTCACTTCTTGTATATATTAGAATAAGAATTTGACGTGCCCTATTGCATTGTTTTGCTTAGTGGAATTAAGAATTTTGATTTTGATTTTCTGCCTCAGGGAGCTTAGGCCTACAGAGGATTGCACACATTAGTTAGTACGATGAGGCAGCAAGAGTTCAGAAGTTTTCATCAAAATAGTTACCGTACCGTACTAAAGAAAAGGGAAACTGTCCTTGCTGATATTCATATTTAAGACTACCATATAGTTTACCACCACCCTAAGTAGTCTTAGTGCCGTCCTATATCAGTACGGAATTCACTAGTTTAACCAAACAGCGATCTAAAAGCAACATTCTCTTAACTTTGTTCACTGCCTCTTAAACATACTATGAACGACTGCAGCAACAGTATTTGGATTGCAGCAGCATGAACGGCTTGAAACAATAAGTAACAACATCGTACAAATGTTATGACTAACTTACTCCCTCCATGCCTTAAGTACAGGCTATAATATACGTAAAAATACTTTTCTCCATTCATGTACTGGTGATGGACTTAAATTTTGGTTGACGCCTATCACAACAGATAAATGACAGAACACAATTCATACTTGGCGGGAGTGTCAGTTTACCCTCAAATAAGTGTCCTATGAACCAGTATATGAGGATATTATAGGTTTATTCGTAAATTGGAGTCTGTCAAACTTATTTATTTTGTAGCTCTTAAATATCAGTCTATATCACTTGCCGGTAGGTAGATGTTGAGAGGGGCGAGCGGTAGGATGAAGAGTATGCTGAGGGAGAGTAAGAAGAGCCATATCTGGACTCTGAGTGGTAGGAACGGGTCACACTAACTGGCATTATGCCTCTGAATTCCCTGAAACAAAAATTAATTTTATAAATAGGGTATTTGTATAGAAAAGTTAGGCCTACAAGTTTACGAGTAACTAACTAGCCCACTTTTAGAATACCAATTTATCTGTGGGTCTACAAAATTTAGTCACGGTATGACTGGTTTCCTACGCGTACTCCCTCTGTGCGAAGAGCATGGAGTGCAACAGAGGGGTAATAGTCAGAAAGTTTTTAACTACCTATTGTTTCACACACAGTTAGGTATCTTCTGTGTGGAAGAAATTAAATGGGAGTTCAAAACAAAATACATCCAGAAACGTGACAATTAGGTATCAATATTTTTTAATATTTGCTTGGGATTTCATTTTAGGCTTAAGCAAATATTAAAACTGCCTAACTTGCTAACTTAAATTTTGAACTTTGTTGTCTAGCAGTTCTTTGAAATATTTCTTAAACAATATTTCTATTTTTTGCAAATAATAGGTAGGCCTAAGGTATATGAAATTAGTAGGCCTTTTAAACTTAAATCAGCACACCTTGAAAAGACGATTAGGGCCTACAAGTAATATAACTTAACCCATAAAAACAGCAATTTGGCTTGTTGTTCTTGATCGGAGTAGCCTATAAGAACTCATGTTTGATCATAGCTTATATTTTAGCAAGTGACTGTTGAAAAAACCACGCTTAAGTGAGCAACTCTAATGAGAAGTAAGGAAAATGAAATTATGCGACATAATAGGCACTGGGCACTGTGCTGAGAGGTCTGTGATAGCCTTCTTGAGAAAAAGTAACTTAGCCAAAACCCAGCATTAGGTGGAGATGTTGGTAGATTGCTTAGGTGTATGGATTTCACCTTAAACATAGGCTACAGTACAGTAAAATTGCAAAACAAGCCAAGTGTCTTACACTCACTTAAAATACATAGGGCCTAAGACTAGGCTTACCATACTTATTTTTGGCATTATAAAACAAGAACTCAATTGAACAAACCTGTACTACCTATTTTTAACTTAAATTTTTAAAATAAAAGTTAAATAATAGCCTATTTGACAAATAGCTGTTAAGGCTCAATCAAAGTCAAGTTGGTTAGGCCTATTTAACTTAAAAGGAACTTTGACTATTAATCAAACCTGAAGATTAAATTTAGTGATTAAGGCTAAAAGCAATGTTATTTTTCGCATGGTAATAAACAAGGGAGCATCGATTTAAGCAATTGATTGACATGTGCAATAAAAACTTAATTTGTGAAACTAAATACCTGAACCATTTATCAGGTAGAGTTCCTAGTCTCAGGAAATTTATCCAATTGCCAGAGTTGTGTTCTTGTCAACATTCACCTTGATTATCAAGGACTTGCTTGAGTTGTATTTATTTAGAATACAACAGTAAGTTAACTTATTGGTTTAAATAAGTAATAACTTTAAAAAGAGCAAATATCCCCTACTTCTGACACGGATTTTCTTAATGAGTAATGAAAATCAATCCTATTATTTATATCGCACTAGCAGACTACACGATAACCTAAACCCCAACACAAATGTAAACATTACAGTTATCGAGACACAATTAATTCATTTTCCTACTTACTTAGTGTTGACTATCCAAGTGAAATGGCCTTCACATCTCCCCCTAACGATAACTTGTTTTTAATTCCCTCTTGCCTCTTTCAAGAGATGTTTAGTGGTAAAGGGTTACCTACATCCAAATTAAGAAAAGTGACGTCACTTTATCGAAAATAGGTATTGTTTCTTGGCACTGACATCTCAGACATGCGCAACACAATAAAATGAAAAGAAACTAAACAATCACATCATTAGTTTTTGGAAAAAATTCACTGGAAAAATATTCATTAGCTATGTAAGCATTATAGTAAAAAATCACTTACACAGCTTTTTTATAGAACATAGAAGACGTTAAAATACGTTATGTTCAACTATATTTGGGATATTTTTGTGAAAGATTAAATTAATGTGAGAACGCAGTAGGTAATGCTGAAAAAGTTTTTAACGCTCTCGATGTAGATTTGAAGGTATAACGTTAGTCTATGGTATAACATATGGATTCAAAACTCCTTAGTACACCTATTAGCATTCCTAAAATTATTAATTGATAGTAATAATAATTTATTTAGGTTGAGTAGTACGTGTTTCCGACCCTTTGGGTAAAGGAAAAATTAATGGTTTGGATTTTATATTGAAGAGTCTGTGGCTTTATAGTTTTTTATATGTTAAGACTGTGACAACTGCTGCAAAGACAATTTATTTCTTCAATACTTTATTATTGATTTTCATGGATTTCCATCCATCAATTTATTTTCGGCATTACATATACTATATACCCCATATTTATATGGCATATTTTTAAATCATATTAATCTTTACCATCTTATAAACACAAACGCAGTGTGTTGATAGTACTCAAAAATTCAATCACTCAGGAAGGCCATTGCAGCATACGTTTACGATGCTATAGTAATTACTGAAACTAATCTTGTACCTGAAATAACAAATGCTGAATTCGGATTCACTAATTTCGATGTATATCGAAAGGATAAATGGACAAAAACAAGTAGTAAAATCGGTGGGGGGGAGGGTGTGTGTGCTGATTGCAACCACTACTGAACTGTGCCACACTGTGCCCAGTTGAGATCATCCAACGCCGCCTTTAACTAAGGCCGTGGCCAGCGAGAATTGGCAACGTCGCGCGCCAAGCATCTACCGGCCGATTCACCATTGCGGCTTATGTACTTAATTCATCTTACATACATACATGATACATGATCTCTCCGTCCGTAGTCCTTTGCCTTAAGGAATTGGACAGGTCAGGGTTAATACAAAGAATAACCAGCTTAATACTAATTTTTGTCACCGTCTAGGTAACTGTCTATGTCCTCTAAACTTAACTCTACTAGATATTTTTTTAATTCTGATTTGAATTTTGTTAAGCTCTGAATTTCAAGTAATTTTTTCGGTAGGGCCTGGTACAATTTCATTCCCATGTAATCTGGTTTGTGTTCAAATTTTGTGAGTTTATGTTGGACTGCATGTGTGCCCTTTGTTCGTGTGTTGTAAGTGTGATTTGTAAAAGTTGGTTTAATGTTCTGTGATTTTATATAGCAAACTGATTCATAGATATAAAGTGAAGGGACTGTGAGAAAGCCAAGTCCTTTATAAACATTTTTGCAGCTGGTCCGAGGCGGCATGCCCAAGATTGCTCTTACTGCCATATTCTGCCAAACAAAGATCTGGTCAATATTCTTCTTAACAGCTCCCCATAGAATGATTGAATACAAAATGTGCTGTTCTATTAGGCCAAAATACACAAGTTTAGAGAGAGCCAGGTTTCCGAAGGTTCTTATTCTTCGAAGTACAAAGACCCCTCGTGCCATAGACCCCTCCAGTTTTTTTATTTGTGCATCCCAGCTCAATTTATCGTCCAATCTCACCCCCAAAAAGTCGGCAGTTTTTGAAATTTGAATTTGATCCTCTCCAATTAATAGGTTCGGAGTCCTATTATTTTTTAAATTTTGTCTTTTTGCAGTTTGGATACACATGTATCCTGTTTTTTGTGAATTTAATTTGAGTTTGTTTGAGGAAAAAAAGTCAGCCAAATCATTTGCTCTTTGATTAGATTCTGCCTCCAGGGCAGCGTCATCAGTTCCCCTTACGAACAACGTTGTATCATCCGCAAAGAGGTAGACGCTGTCCTGCGGAACAGTATCTGTGATGTTGTTGATGTAGACCAAGAAAAGGAGAGGTCCAAGGACAGATCCCTGGGGGACGCCATTGGAGATCAATTTTTTTGTTGATGAAATTCTTTCAGTTTTTGAATTTGAGTTTTTTTGAATCTCAGTGACTTGGAATCGGTTGCTCATATAGGATGTGAGCCACTTCAGCGCAAGTCCTGAGATTCCAATTGATGCCAATTTTTCCAATAGAATCGCAGGTTCGACACAATCGAAGGCTTTGGAGAGATCAGCAAAACAACCAACTACCGTCTCTCCAGCCTCCATTGCGTCTATACTGCTGTTGATGAAATCAATGAGTGCCAATTTTGTTGATTTGTTGCGTCTAAAACCATATTGTCTGTCACACAATATGTTATTTTTTTCCAAGAAGTTGCTAAGTTGCTCCGAAACAACTTTCTCAATCAATTTTGAAACGACTGGTAGGAGAGAGATTGGGCGATAATTCCCCGGATCAGTTCTGTCTGACTTTTTAAAAATTGGTTTTATTTTTGCAATTTTGCAATTCTGAGGGAAAATTCCAGATGTCAGTGAAAAATTGACAATGTGGGTAAGAGGAACTGCCACTTCCTCCCTACAATATTTTAGGACATGCATACTGATTCCATCTACACCACTAGAGTGTTTAGATGGTAGCTTTGAGAACAAATCCAGAAGGTAAGCAGATGTAATCAAATGAAATTGTCCAAGTTCAGCAGTGCCATTCCTCCTAAATCCAGATAAGGCATGGGTTTCCTGATCCTTGTTAACAAGCTTCGAAACATTAACAAAATAGTCATTTAGGGTTTCACACACTTCTATAGGATTTTCTATTTTGTTACCGTCAATATTCAGTATAATATTATTACAGTCTGAATTTTCTTTTGGCCTAATGCTGTTTATAATCTTCCAAGAGTCTTTAGATTTATTTTTTGAGCTGGATATGCAATCGTGTGCCCATTTTATTTTACTTTCCTGTATTTTGTTTTTATATTTATCTTTAAGCTTTAGGTATAATTCTTTGTCAGATATCATTCCTGTCAGCCTCCATACAGAGTATTGTTGGAACATTTTTTCCTTTGCAGCTATTATCTCATTGTTCATCCATTTGTTTTTTCCTTTGCGACTAAGATTAAGTTTCGTTTTTTTATTCGGGCAGCTGATATCAAAATAATATTTGAATGTTTCTATAAAGCTATCATATTTGGTATTAATATCAGGAGCATCATATACTGAGTTCCAGTCCTCTGACTGTAGCCTTATTTTAAGTTCATGAAGATTTTCATCAGTAATTATTCTTTTTTCTAAGGTTTTATTTTGGTTTGAGATACTATTTTGGTTTGAGATAATTTCAGGTAGGCTTATTTCTATTGAGATAGCACAGTGGTCTGAAATATGGGGTTCTTTTACTGCTGCTGATAATATTTCAAAGTTAAAAAATTGTCTATGCATGTGCTAGTTGTGTCTGTAATTCTAGTTGGTTCAAAAATGTTTGGTTTCATATCAAAACTTTTAATCAGAGTTGCAAATCTGTGGTAAGTGTTGTCATCCTTGATCAAGTCGATATTGAAATCTGAGCCTATTACTATATATTTATTCTTAATGTTCAGTTTAAGTAGATATTCATTTAATTTGCTAAAGTATTCATCAAGGTTGCTGCTGTATGGAGACCTGTACATGGAAGCTACTACAAACTGTTTATTTCTCACAGAAAAACTTATTTCAGCACACTCAAAAATTGTTTCTTTTGAAAAAGTTATTCCTATGTCTGTGGACTTAAGGCTATCGAGTTTTATGGAATTTTTATTTTTGAAAATTGCTACACCACCCATATTTTTATACTCTCTGCCATAACCAGCAATAAATTCAAAGTTTTCTATTCTTAATTCTGATAGGCTATTTTGGTCTAGACCATGTTCATTAATAAGAAATAAATCTGGGTTTTCTGATTCTAAAAAATGTTCGATTTGTTCAATTTTATTTGTGATTCCCCTTACATTCAAATGAGTTATCTTAAAATTGTTTTTCTGTGTGAACCTTATTCTGTTCTTACGATCTAAGTGTTTTCTGTTTCGGTTGCCGGTTGCAAGTTTTTTGTTATGTTTTTAGAGGTTTCGATTGCCGATTGTGAGATTTTTTTAATTTCAGAAGTGTTGGCTGTCAATTGCAAGTCATTTGTGATTGGAGAGGTTTCAGTGGTAGATTGTAAGTTTTTTGTAGTTTCAGAAGGCTTAGGTAAATCAAGCTTCCTCATTAGAGTTTTTGATTTCAAATTCAAATCAATTGAAGTCAGGTAGGCTAGTATTATACTGCACATAGTTTCTTTCCCAAGCTTGTTTAGGTGCATTCCGCTTTTTGTGTAGCAATTGCGATCAATCATTGAGTTTAGGCTTAGGTAGGCTACCTTGTTCCTGACACAAAATTCTCTAATCAGGGTATTTTGTTTCTTTATATTTTCATTTGGGACAGTTTTTGATATCAAGGTGGGCGTTTCAACGAGAATCAGGTTTTTTGGTTGGATCAGAGTTTGTTCTATTTCAGCAAGCACTTGTTTTACATTATTAATGGACTGAGCAGTTACATTGTTAGTTCCACCAACCACAACACAGGTGTCCTTCGGTGTCATATCCTTAAGCTCTTTTTTAGCTGTAACCAACACCGTGGCCATGGGTGCTCCGGGCAGCACGATAGCCTGAGCTTGACTACCGCACCCCCCTTTGCAGCCCATGTGTCTCAACTCTTCCCCACAGTGTCTCGCATGGCTGTCTCCAACAATTACTAACCGTGGCTTTTTTTCCTACTTTTTCATACACATGAGTGTTGTCAGATATAAAACATCTAAATCTAAACACGAAACAACAAGTGTCATGATAGCGCTATCGTGAATTGTTTCGTGTTAATATGTTCCGTGTCCCGTGTTGTATTTTCTGTTTAAATTATTTGACGTTTTTGACGTAAAGTTCCGACGATATTGCTGTGCAACGAAACATGTCAGCTTTGAACAACATTAGTTAAAATGAGACACAATTCTGGACTACTAAGGTAAGCCTATAAAGTCATTATTCGTAGTCCAGGGGCTATCAGAATGAATAATATAAAACATACTCCTCAAGGATACTTGAGGAGTATATTTTATCTATGTTAATACTATAGAGAGTATTCTTTCTATTGGCATTAAACATTAAACTAGCAATTGCGCAAAACGGGTTGTCATTCATTAGCACAGATTAAGAATACGCAATCCTTGGTCGCTTGGTTTTAAATTAAGATTGAACAGCTGCATGTTTAAGTTACAACCACGGCCGCCTTTGGTACAACTGTAGTAGAAGAAAAAGAACCCTCGTCACCAGGGCTTTTTTGAAGAGGCAAGTAAAAAAAAAATAAATGGTTTGGTGTTAGGTTCACTGGTTGTTTTGTGTAAGGTTTAAGGTTATGGTCACTATTCACTGAATTCTTGGTGCTGGAGCGTTTCGTTGAGTTATTTTTTTATTACTAGGCATACTACTAATATTAATTAAAATATTGAACGTATTTTATAATGAAAGGTGTTACGTTTTATGTATAAGATGGAAATTAAGCTACACATGCCAAATAGGCCTACTCATTCTCTAACTACTCAAGGCCTAACTCATGTTATGGAAAGTTTTTGAAAGAAACTACACATCATCATTGGTGATCAAAACTCTATCAATGATTTAAGATAAATTCAGTAATGAATCTTCAAACATTGTTTCAGGATTTTAACCCAAGGTAAGCCTAGGCTAGACGTACCCATACTTTACCATCAATATCAATTAATAGGCTACATTGTTTAGGCTACAGCACTTCAAAACCCATGAGTCTTAGTGACCTATTCACTGATATCCAAAGTTTCATCCTAAAGTGTATAGGCAACAGTATACTTAAATCACAAATACCTAAGTTAATGGTTGAAACGCTAGTTCTAGGCAATCATGAAACACAATCGAACCATTTTCTGTTATCCTAGGCCTATCTTGAAGTGGTGGAATTCAGGGCCGGATTTTGCATTTTGGGGCCTGTAGGCCCAAATAATTTTCCGCCTCCTATTCTGGTCAGTTACTTTCCTTCAAACCTTATTTAAAACTATATCGTGCCCCTAGGTAGGCTATAAGTTAATTGCTTGAATAGGTACCACTCCTCGTCGGAATTTTATCATTGCAAGTTATTTGAAGAATTGACCTGATTAGCCTAAAAAAATGCTGTCTTAAACACTTTTAGCAATTTTATGCTTTTAGTAAATGTTTACGTTTGTGGGACTGAAACAAAACAACTCAACCCTCCGAGCATTCCTGTAAAAAAACATGGCCATTGATTCCAATTTCAGGCCCAAAAACATGAACTCCATACAGTATGTGTACCATAGATTAAACGTAGGCCTACTCCTTTAGTAGATTTGTCATCATTATGGAAAAAAGCTGAAAACAATTATTGTTATTTAAACCTAACTCATTTTATGGAAAATAAAACAATCTAATCATAAACAATAAGTCGTCTCCTGAATTAAAACACATATCATAGATCTAACCCTATAATAATAGAAATAATACCCCCGCCGCAGCAAACCTGCAGACTAAGCGAATTTCGACTTGTCTGATTACATATTTACTAAAATACTTCCATAAATAAGACATATTTATTCCCAATTTAAATATCATTAGATATAACTTGCTGATATAATTTGCTGCTACGGGGAAGGTAAACAGTGTTTTTTGACCAAACAACAATAGTATAGGATGAAATAAATAAGTTTGCCAAATTTGATCAACATATATCCATAAAGTACCGTAAACTACAACAGTTTTAATTTTCTCCATAAGAATAACGTGGGAATTTTAAATTTGCATTTTTTTGAATTTTCTCCATGACCGTTAGGCATACAACAATGCTTCAATATACTAAATTATTTCTTTTTTTAAGCTCTACAAAATGGTTTGGGAAAGAAATTCTAAAATTTTATGTTTTTAGGGTCAAAAAACCCCCCATAAACCCCTGTTCCCATGGTCCGATTATGCTGGATCGCGAACTCGTTCGAATAAATGTAGGTTTACATGTTTGTACCAAATTTCATCTAAATCAGATCATTTTTGCTCGAGTTATCGCGCTAACGGACATATATATAAATATATATATATGAATTTGAACGGATGGTGTTTTTGGCCTCTAGGGACCTCAAAACGAAAAAAAAAATCGTTCCCGCTTCCAGTTCTTACCATGAGTACTACGGTGGTAATAGCTTATTTCCTATATGGGAAATTTGCTAAAAGCAAGTCAAAACTAAAGTCCAGTGATAACATCAATGTGATAAGAAGTTGACTTGAGTTCTATTTAATCTATGGTGATACTGTATCTAGGTTATATTTCCAAAGGAAAACAGAGCAATATTCCGGCCAACCATACCGACCCTTAGGCCTGAGGAGAAAATGACAGCATTAATGATGCTTTGCCCCCTTAGGGGGTTTTTAAGGAGTATTTTAAATTAAGTTAGGTTTGATAGCCCTATCTTGATTTTGTAAATTTTATTTTGTAAGTTAAAGTTACGGTAACATGTCACATGCACAACCTGTAGCATGGCCATTTTAATCCACTAGTTATAGGTAAGTTAGCTACCTAGCCTAGATGTAAACATTTGATCACACAATTTTAGAATTTGTTTATTATTTATTTATTTATTACTTGGTACAGCACATATACAATGAATTTACAATACAAAACTGCATAAGCCTTAAAAAAGGCTTGTCAGCAGTGTTTCTCATAATACTAATAGTCTTTTCCATCTTTATCTTGATCTTGAGTCAGTGTGAACTATTAACTGTACAAAAATATATTTCCTACTTCTTAAACAGTAACAAATTTGGCTTATAACCATTTTACATGATTACAAACAATTAAAATTTTGTAGGGGCAAAAAAAAAACTGTAGAAAAATAAAATAATTTAAAAATTAGATCAAGTGTAAATATGCAAGGAATCTTCTTAAAAATTATTTAACCCTTTGTTTTTAAAACGAGCCAAAAGTGCCGACGTCCGGCCGACCGGACGTTTTTAGAACAAGCCAAAAGTGCCAACGTCCGGCTGACCGGACGTTTCGTAATGATCGAACAGTTGTCATAACAACCGAATGGATACTCGGATTCTTTTAACCCATATATTAACATTGAGTCGAAAGTTACTAGATGCGATACATCGATTTTCGTTGGTCGAAATATCGAAAATTCGATTTTTACGAAATTTTAACCTAAAAATCGCCAGATCGCGCTCGGCATTTTTAGCGCGACCTTCGGGAAAAATCATCGGCATTTTTTTTAGCACTTTTATTTCTCGCCTGGCACTCTAAGGGTTAACATGAGTATATACTTTCAAAATACAAACAGTCAACAAATAAATAACAAGGAATAATAACAGCTGAAACAAACTTTATAACATACGTTAAAACAGGAACTAGGCCCTACCTATATTTTTAACATTGATAAAAGATATCTAATATATAAAATTCTCGTGTCACAGTGTTTGTCTGCAAACTCCTCCGGAACGACTTCACCGATCGTTATGAAATTTGGTGTGTAAATTCTGTAGGTATGCGAATCGGACGTAAACTATTTCCCGTTTCGAAATTCTTAAAAGGGCTCCGCCCCAGTGGCTCTGGAGTTTCCCATGTTAACCTTATGAGAAATGGAATTAATGAATCTTAACAGCTGTTTCAATTAAACAAGTATGTTCTGTTCTATGATGTTCAATAGCATTAAAGTTACAAGGATTACCAACAGGGTGCAGCACTATTATTTCTTTTACATTTATGACAACAGCTAATTTGCAACCAAAAGGTGAGTGAGCGTAGCGAACAAACTTTAACCTGGAGGCGAGTGAGCGTAGCGAACGAGCCAACCTGAAGGCAAGTGAGCGCAGCGAACGAGCTCCAACTTAAAGGTGAGTGAGCGTAGCGAACGAGCTCCAACCCAAAGGTGAGTGAGCGTAGCGAACGAACTTCAACCAGGACGTGATTGAGCGATGCGAACGAGATCATCTTGAAAATTAAACGTAACGGTACTTTCTTTCCATCGGTCTGTCTTAGGGGAAACCTATAACTTAGGCGATACGAAGTTCGCCGGGTCAGCTAGTATATATATATATATATATATAGGTATATATATAAGTAAAATTCTGTAAAGAATTAAATGTAAAGAATAACAGCAACTGAAAACAACAAAAGACACTTGTATTATACTATGATTTAACAATAACAATAAGTTTAAGCGTTTTCTAAAAACGTTAACTACTCGGTCATATACCTTTTTTTTTTTTTAGTTTTACCTTATTATAATTAGTTGTAGCGATATTATAATCAGGGGAGGGGATGAAATTTACCAGAGAACGAATTGGAACGTTGTCGTTATGTACTTTCGGTAATCCTCTTAGTAGCAGGGCCTTTGGATTGGTGATTTACAATTCTTTATTTCAACTGGTGATAGGAGATGATTACTATTACTAATAGCCTTATTTATATCTTTGGAAAAAGAAGCTGTCGGATCTTTAGGTAGCTTTTCAATGTTCTTCAACGCTATGAAATGTTGTACTTTACTAAGGTAATCTTGCCTGTACATAATGACTATAGCCTAGAGTTCCCCTTGTCAGCCTTTGTTATCAGGGCGTCATTGTTCCTGAGTTTATTTCTAATGCTTGTAGCAACTTGTTGTTGTCGTGTCTGTATTTCAAAACATATTTACTGTTGCATTTAGGATTATTTATTGCTTGGTTGATTTTGTTGTTTATTGCCAATGTGTAAGGTACCAAATTGTAAGGGGGGTAAAAACGTGCTGCAAATAAATTAACACCAGAACTTACCCAATTTTAATCCATAATAGCTTACTCCTAGGCCTATGTGTTGGCCATAGCTTGGGCTATGGGCCAAAGAACGTAGGCCTATTTTAATCACAGTGAAGTACATACACACACCCAAAACTACATATGTATTAATAATAGCACTCAGTTTCACCAAATAAAGTCAAACCGACTGATTTTACCAGTATTTAACGCCGACGACGACATAACCCCAAAACTGGTGTTTATTTGTCGACCAACGGCAGACCACAAATAGACCGACTCAACAGGTGAATTTCCGATCAGCTGTTGGCTAGTTCTTGGACTCATCACCAGAGCACTTTAGCCTCGGCCGAGGAAATCACGATTTGAGCCGGACAAGATTTATTCGCTGTTTGACCACCGACTTGCTCGCTAGAAGCCTCTTCACGAATTACGGATATGACGACACGACGCTACGATTTTACTACGAAGGTTAGCTAGCGTACTAGTTAGGCCCTTTTCACGTTTTACGTTATTTTCATTTCACGCAATTCTTAATCTATTATTCATATTCGCTTTATTAAAGTCCCGATTCGAATTGTCTAAATTTAATAACTTAACTTGAGTCTTGACCCGCCAGTTCCTGCCTGCCAGTGACTAGCGGTGGCTATCGTTTATTTAATTTTAATTAATTAGTTTCGAAATTACGGTTTCTCCGTTCATTTAACAAATAATTATCACGTCTAAATTATATCTCGTTTTCACCGTTTTAATACCCCGAGACTTGTCGTCTAAGTTCCAAACCCCTTCTTTGGCTGGTGAAAGAATCAAGTCTTGGGAGCAGCTGATTTGAACAATCAAACAGCTACGAATATTAATATTAAATCTATTTTAAATCATCCCACAATAAATTCTCCATTCGATTATATTAATTAGGCCCGACGACTCTGTAGAAATTGCTTTTTACATTAGATTTGATTTTATTATCTACTACCGTCTTTAGCCAGATAGTTTACAGTTTATTACGAGTATTTAAATCACATTGGCTTAAGATTGAATACTCGTTGGCCCTACAGAGTCATTCTAAAAGCTAGGCAAAATTCTCCACAACATGTTAGCGAAGGCTGGGATGATATAGTTCCAACTGGGCGTCTGCAAGGATTTCCTGAGCGCTTCTAGAGCTCTGAGCCTTCGATTAAATTTAAATAAATTGATCAGTCAAAGCCGTGAAAATTTCGTATCGACCCCTGGATTTTTCTCGGCTCCTTCTGAGCACTCCGGTGAAGAAATTTGAGTGTGGCCGGTTCTGGGGGTAGGCCTAGCCTGACTTTGATGAATACCAGTTTATTCCCCCTAGAATTTTGCTTCACAAATGTTTTGATTTTGCTCAGACTTTAGAGTGTTTATTACAGATTCCGATTGGAATATTTAGCTTAAAAGGCTTTTTGTGTTCGTTTTAGGGTAATGGTAATCGAGTCCTTTGTCTCCTTGTGTCCTTTGAGTCTCAACCTCATCAAATATAATGTTTGTATAGTTTATTAGTTTATGACTCTTGGAAAGAATTTATGCCCACAATCTATTTCCTCACCTCTTGTATCTGGGTTTTAAATAGGAAATCAATTTTTTGTTTCTGGGTTTTCTTTTATTTTGAATTTTCTTAATGATTATAGTCTCAATTTCATTTATGATGCCATTTATTTGTGCGGGGGAGATCGTTGAGCAGGGGGCAGCAAGGTCAGCCACAATCCCAGTCATAAAAAAACGTCTGCCCCTGCCGCGTCGTGTGTGGAACTAGTTCCCGAATTTATGTTAATTGTCTGCCAGTATGTTTTGTGTTATATTTATATAAATGTTTTGAGTGTTCTTGAAACTCGACGATCTTGCAAGAGTGACAACAAGAGCCTGATGATGAGGTTATAACCTTGAAACCGGTTGCTCACTACAACAAATTTAGGATCACAGGCGTAATCAGTTAATTTTATACCATTTTAAGTTTCTGTTCAGCCATGTTAACTCTTTTTTTCTCTTGTTTATGCAAGCTGTTCTTCCCCAACCCTATCTTTAAGGAAAGCAGTTCAAAACCTTCAAAGACGTGTGAGTTTTTGAGTCAAACCTGTTACTCAAAACAAAAGTCTGATACAACTAGTAGTTTATTAAGGAACCGTTAATTCCTATAACCTTCTTAAATGTCTAGATTAATTTCAAAGAATGTTCATGGTTTTATGTTTTGTTTGATTGTTTCAGCAAGTTCATTGTGCATTCATCCCTTCTGGTCTTCACTGCTCTATTCGCTCTTAGACTCGATGGCACAATTGATTGGAGCTTTTGGACTGTGTTTTCACCCATTTGGTTCTGGAAGTTCATGGTCATATCTGGGGCCACTGTTGGAAGCTATGTGTGGTGGAGATATCCTCATTTTAGGTATGTTTTTCTGTACTTTTAGGTGTAAGAAACTCCTACTTTCTAACAAGTTCAAAATGTTTTTTGTTGACTCTTGATTTTTACAATAGCTTGGCATTTTAAAAATATTTTAAAGGGGACAGTCTATTCTCTTGCCATTGTTAACTAACAATGAACTGTTTTGAAAAGATGAAAAGAATGCTATACCTAATTTAGCCTTAACTCAAGATGGCTAGAAGTAAATATATATCGAACAGAACCATCCTGAGATTTGTTCAACGCCACATTTTACCAGGCTATATTGTTGTTTCAGGCTGGAAGGTGAAGCTTATGTACATTACAAGGCGATGCTGATAAGTCTCGCACTTCACCTTATATTGCTCATGTTTGAACTACTAGTTTGTGATAAACTACAGACAGGACGCCATCTTTGGATCCTTGTCTTCATCCCTCTAATATTTATCTCCATTGTGTCCATTGCTGTTTGTATCTGGGCTGTCAAACATGACAGGTCGTTTGAGGTCAGTATTAATGTTTAGTGATATTTTCCTGTGCTAAATAGTTACAAGTAGGCCTACTAACTTTAAATGGAAATTCCTACAATATTTGAATATATTGATGTTGGTTAACATAATTATAAGAATAAGAATAAGAATATTTTATTTTCTCCAAAAAATACAGTATAAAAATATTTACAATTAGTCATTGACAGTGTTTTACATAAACAACAACAAAATATATGGTAGTTCCATTTTATCAAAAAAATAAAGTCCATCACTTTTTACAATGTCATACCTAATATGTAAAACATAACTAAAAAATAATATAAAATACACTACTTGGTTTCGTTGTTATTATTTTAATTAAAACAAATAAGATTAATTGTATTGTATTATAAATTAATAAATTTTATTAATTAATTAATAAAATTTTATTAATTTTATTTTATAAATTTTATTATAAATTAAATTGTATTATACATTGTGACTTCTAATAATAATTTTGTTGGGCACTTTTAAGATGTAATTTGTTGACAAGCTTCTAAAATTACAAGTTGTGGTACATTAAAAACAAATTGATGGCTTTTAACTTTTATTCTATAATGAAAATCAACCAAAAACAAATTAGACAATAGTTGCCCTTGAATCAACCTTCCTCAATAATCTTTCCTTCTGAACGCACTTTTGTAAAATCACTCATATCTTTTTTTAATTGAAATTCTCAACTACTGATTGGTGAGGTGATCCAAATTAAAATAGTGAAGTAGTGGACACAACAAGTCACATGGGCAAAGCAGTGAATGTAATGTTAGAGTAAGACAATGCTAGATGCTGGTCTGGTACTGGTATGTTCGTTGCACTGGTATGTCTTGTACTAGTATGGTCTCGTACTGGTATGTACTCGTATGTTTGACTTAATTTTCTTTTTTTAAAAGGTTGGTGACTTTGAGTTTACTAGTAATGATATACATAAATAATGTGTAAGAAATTTTATTTGGGGTAAGGATTATCTGGTGATTATAAATTTTGAGTTACTAATATAATTTTTTTACTATGGTCAGTCTTGTAGTTGTGCAGTTTCCTCCTATGTTGTTGTATAGACACATGGAAAAATTTTAAATCAATGATAACTATATTTTATTACTCTCATTAAAGACAATTTAAAATATGTAGGCTAATCAAAATGTTGTTTTCCAGCTGGAACTGTTCTGCGCTGTCAATATGCTTCAGTTCATATTCCTCTCTCTTCGTCTTGATGGGTTCACATCGTGGAGCTGGGAGGTTGTTTTTGTACCATTGTGGATTGTCCTCTGTTTAAGCCTTGTTGGGGTGTTATATACAATTATCTTTGCTGGTATATTGTTAAGAACACCACAAGTCAATGCTAATCAGAGACGATCATGGTTCAATTCAGCCCTAGCTTACACATTCCTTGTGGTACCTATTTTAGTCTTTCAGGTGAGTTTTAGTATATATTTTTTTAATATTTTTAGTTATAGGTAAGTCGACTGGTAAAACAGAAAAACTGTATGTGAATTTTGATGACTCGGGAAAAAGTCTGTGAATTGTTTGGGAATTTTGAATGGTACCAGAATCTTTGTAATAATCTCTTACAGCCTATGGCTGTGTTTCCGCTCATTAACAGCGGTTCTTTGGCTCTTTTAGCGAATTTCCCATATAGGGAATAAGCTATTGCCATAGTACTCATGGTAAGACCTGGACCCAGGACCAAGTATTTTTTGGTTTTGAGGTCCCTAGAGGCAAAAAACACCAACCGTTTTAATTCATATAAACATATATGTGTGTCCGTTAGTAACTCGAGCAAAAATTATCCGATTTTGATAAAATTTGGTACAAACGTGTAAACCTACATGTATTGGAACGAGTTCGCGAACCAGCATGATAGGACCATGGGAACGGGGTTTTATGAGGTAAAAATTGGTTTTTCTAATTTTTACCCTAAAAACATAAAAATTAGCAATTTCTTTCCAAACCATTTTTTAGAGCTTAAAAAACAAATAATTTAGTATATTGAAGCATAGTTATGTGCCTAATGGTTACGGAAAAAATAAAAAATAAATGTAAATTTAAAATTCTAATGTTATTCTTAATGGAGAATAAGTAAACTGTTGTTGTTTGCTTGTTTATGAGCATATTTTGATCACATTTGGAAAATGCATAGATTTCATACTAAACTATCAACATTTTACCAAAAAACTTTTTATCCTCCCTGTTGCAGCAAACCTAGAGTACACGTTAGACCAATGCTATTAAAATAGGGAATAAATGTGATATTTTAGTGTAAATCCAATTAGGGGAATGGAAATTCGCTTAGTCTGCAGGTATGCTGCGAATCATCAGCATACAAAACTACTTTGTTGGCATTCTGATCACCCAATATATCATTCATTCCATTTATGTAGATAATGAATAATAAAAGGCCTAATTACCCCCTGTGGGACTCCAAATTTTATGCACTGTGTTTTTGAATTTTTTTTTTGTTTGTTTTCCGCCAGTGCTTTGGAGGCTATTGATTTTTCTAAAATCTAATACAAACTGAGGTCAATATTTTTTTGTTAATTTTAAAGGTAAATTCATCATTGTTTTATTCAACACAACTTATTATATTTTTTAACTTGGTCCTGCTGATTTTAACTAGGTAATCAAAAGATTAGTTAATAATAACTTTTGTTTTGTGAGGTGAGGGTGGTAACAATGTCTAGCACACATGCGCCCCTAATCACTCTGATCAGTAATGCCGAGCCCGAGCCAGCTAGTGGCAGTGCAGTGGCAATACGTACCCCTTGGGCGCTAGTCAACGTCAACATCCCTACAGCCTACTCCTGTATAACCAATGTTTGTTACCAATTTTGTAACGAAATTGATGCGTAATTCTGAAAAATAGTTTAAATTTCCTAACAATTATTTCTTCTTATGAACTTCAGAATCACAATGCTTTGTTGGAGTTTTTTTTATCAACTGAGACTATTTATTTTCATTTTTAGATAGCCTAGGTATGAAAAAAAATTACTCTCGGACGTGCGCCCTCTGGGACCTTGCGCCCATAGGCCCGGGCCTATTGGGAAATCCGGCCCTGGTGCTTTGCCTTTAATACCAAACTGTGTCAAAATTTTAACCACGGTACCTTGACAGACTCTATCAAATGCCTTTTGTAGGTCCATAAATAGTCCAATACATTTTTCACCCCTATCAATGGTATCAATAATGGACTCAATAAATTGTACAGTTGCTGTTTTGTTAGACTTTCCACTTTCCAGTCCTAAATCCATGTTGGTTGCCATTAATTAAGCGGTTACTTTTGAGGAAGTACATTAATCTAGTATGGACAGATTTTTCGTAAATTTTTTAAATGATGGGTAAAATTGACAGTGGCCTGTAATTTGATGGATTTTTAGACAATCTTTTTTGTGTATAGGAATAACTTTTTCAATTTTAAGTTTTGATGGAAATATACCTGACACAAAAGTTGAGTTTATCCTTAACAAGTTGAGTTGGTTTGAGTTTGACCTTAACAATAGCTTTATCAACATGTTTAATCACTTTAATAGACATTTTGTCATAACCTCTAGCAGGTTTTTTTAGATTTTGAATAATGGTTAGTACCCTATTTCTTTTTCATCAACTGAAATGAAATGAAATGAAAAATGTTTTTATTTAAGAGGCGAAGTTAGGACTAGCAAGTCCTCTCTACCACTTAACCTCTAAAACATAAATAAACTATCCACTTTATAAATAAAATTAAATAATCTAAGGTACCATATTATAAACATGTTGAAATTAAATTTAAACCCAAAAAGTCCATTCACACAAGCCGCCAACAACCCGCCACACCAGCGCCAGAGACTCATTCATGCCTGCTGCTAAAAATCATAGATAAAATCTATGATTTTAACCATTATGGTTATCAATTTAACTGGTGTTAAATGGAAAGAATTTTTGATTTTAGGCCTATCTACTTGACTACAAATTTCATTGGCAGAACCAAAACTATTGCCAGTTAACGATTCCTTTGTAATATTAATGAAATAATCATTAAAAAGTATTTGCTACATGTAAAGGGTCAGTTACAGTGGTATTATTTTTTTCTAAATGAATGTTTTTTGTATTCAACTTATATGAGCCGGTTTCCTGATGAATTATTTGCCAAACATCTTCACTAATATTTTGCGATCTCAGGATTTTCTGCTTGTAGTAATTTCTTTTGTTATTAATGTCATTTTTATGGTAGGTTATGTTTTTTTGTTTAATTATTTTACCATTTTATTTTTGTCTGATCTATTAGTTAGCGCCAGCTGATATTTCTTTCTTTTCTTCTTTTAGCAAATAACATATCCACATGTTTCTAGCCTTATACTTTCTAGTTTCAGTTTTTTGGAAATGATATATTAAAATAAAATGTAAAAAGATTGGAAAAACAGCCATATTTTAACTCAACTGGAGCTGCGTACACAGAATACCAATTTAGAAGCACAAATGATTTTTAAATAAAGCCATATTTTCACCTGTGTATGCTCTTTTACTTATTGTAATTTTTTGAACATTACTGTGATCGGCTTTGTTTAAACGAGACAATTGGGCATCATGATCTGAGAGATTTGTAATAATACCTTCAACATGAATTTTACCTTTGTCATTATTGGAAACAAAATTATCAATTGCTGTAGCTGTTGACTCCAGTAACTCTAGTGGGAAAATTAACATGATATTTGCAACCAAATCTTTTGAGTTAATTAACAAATTCATTTCTCATTAACTAATCTTAAGCATCCTTTAAGACATTAATGTTAAAATCTCCTGCTACAATTATGTAAGGACAGATTCCAGTAATAATTTGTAGAGCATTATTGAGTTTTTCCAAAAACACCTTATCACTAGCTGCAGGTAATCTGTAGATCCCCATCAGTGCAATTTAATCTTTCCCGTTTTTAATTGATACAAAGCAACATTCAAATATTAAAATTTATTAAAATTAAATTATTAAATTATGGATTAAAATGTAATCAGGATTAAACACCTCTAGGTCGGATATATTTAATCTGGACTGGATTATGAAAAATGAAGAAAGAATTAATTTAATTCTTCTCTTCACTTCAACGAGTGACTTAGCTTAGGTTTTGACCGTTAGGAATGTAACCGTTATGTCCCATTATGATTATAGTGTAGTGGCAGTTTTCATAAAATGAATAAACAACAAATTGACACTGTTCTAACCTAATGTGACCCAACCAAACTTCTCAAACAGCTTAAAATTAGTTTTACAAGTTTGATTCATTATAACTTGTTCCTGCTGATACTCAGGTATTCTTAACCTTAGTTGGTGGAAGTTAAAGGAAGGTAGATTAAACTGATTTAAAAATGTCAGTTAGTGAAAGTGAAGTTGACAAGATGGAAATGAGAGCACAAACTGTTTGTGCTAATCTTTTGCCACCAAAATCGAAACAAAGGTATGAAATTACATACCAGCAATTCATTAAATGTACAAAACAAAATAAGGTTAAATTGATAAATGAAAATGTGCTTCTGGTTTATTTAAAAAAACCTCTTAACCACTTTTTCACCCAACTCGTTGTGGACCACATATTCCATGCTGAAATCTAACTGTAAATTAACTGTTTCACTATATTATTCAGTTGTCCAAAAAAATATGCAATATTTTCCTAATTGTACCTGATACAGTATTTATTGTAAGAATGCTGCTGGCAGAACCTATTCCCTGAAAAAAAATAACATATTATTTAACAAAGTTTTTCAAACCTAAAATTACATGAAATCAGCTGATTATACAATAAGTTGTTGCATCACTTTCAGTGGCAATGACATTAAATGAAAACATAACCTCTCTAAGAAGTTATGAGTAGTGATTGTTAGTAATTAAAAACCAGATTGTTAGTAATTAAAAACGGTCGTAGGTAAAGTAGTGTACGCAACTTGCGTTAATAGTCTTTACACAATCGTTGCGTAAACTACTATTGCACGTCTAGTAAAATATGTTTTTCACACAGGTGCTTCTGACCAACAAATTGGATGGAGACATCAACATGACATACACAGGGATTGTTACACCTTTATTTGTATCTTTCACTACACTGATACTCATGTCGTTCAGTGCTAAAGGTGGCAATAAATGTAAGTTGTTGATTTGGAAATTGTTGGAATGAATAGTTAAAGAATTAATCCAACATACAGTGTCTCATAAAGAGGTTACTTTTCTTGAATTAATATAACAGACGCATCAACCATGCTACAATCTTCAAACCCTGCAGTTGTAATAAATATATATGTAAGATAAATACCTTTGAGTCTCATTTGATACTGATTAATCAGAACGAAATGGTAGAGAAACAAAATAATATAATATAAATATTAAAATTACCTAGGAAAAAGAGGTTGCTAGCGTGATTAAAAAAGTGCATAGTGATTTTTGGACGTAGCATTGAATGAACAGTTATGAGTCAAATAAATTTAATTTGTGATTTACCACTAACTTTTCTTTTTAACTACTTCAATTCTATTTACTTAAGTAAGATTGTAAAAAAATCAAGAATCAATTTTTAAAACAAAATGACATGAACGATAGTCGATAACACATCATTTGGATCTTACATTATTTTATTCTGATTTGTTGGAATCAATTGGGACTTGGGAGTGTCTTTTTTACATGTTTGTTGCAGTTCAAGTTTGTAGTGTGTTTATGTAGCAAGTTTGTCTGGTTTAATTCCAAAATAGCAACTGCTTTCTGGAACTCCTTTTATACAGGGGGTAAATTAAGCCTTAGGACGACTTTATAATTTTAAAACAAAAAGAGATATCACAAAACTTTTTTTTGAATCTTTACTGCTAATAGTAAACTACTTTTCTGTGTACATGGTGTTTGGATATCACCTATAGAGGATGGCCCATGTGGAGTAAGTTGAAAATCTTAAAGGTAAGCATAGGTCTATATGTACATCAAATTAAAGGAATTGTTGAACTAAAAACAATGCCACAAACCAGACCTCAAATGGAGAATCGAGTAAAAATTGACAGCTGTTCAAAGATTCATTGAATTTGCAATGCTATTATAGGCTTCCTCCTTAGGGGGGCGCCCGCTAGAAGAAGAAAGAAAGTCTCAAACATAAGCATAGGTTGATATAGACAGTTTCACTGTGCGTGTTGTGCAGGGGAGGTAGTGCGAGAGAGTCTCCCACCACGCTTCCCCTCCAGCCATCAAGTACAGTCGTCTCTAAAACACACACTGCTGTACTTTGTAGCTGTACAGGAACACTAACATACATGGCAGCTAGCGGTAGTTGGAAAACTATATTTGAACTTGACTGTACCGCGAGGCATAGTGGGAGAAAGTGCTCAGCGTGCATGCTCCAGCGAAACCCCACGCACCGTGAAACGATCTGTATGCACATAAAATTAAAGGTCTTTATTAATGGAAAACAATGCCACAAATTTGAGCTCAAAAGAACAACTGAGTAAAAAATGGCAGCCGTTTGAAGATTCAAGAAGAAATCTTCGCAGATTGAAGAAATCTTTGAACAACTGCCATCTTTGACCTGATTGTCCATCTGAGGTCCGGTTTATTGCGTTATTTCTAGTTCAACAAGACCTTTAATTTGTTGTTTATATCATCATTATCAACCTATATTTACCTTTAAGATTTTCAACTTACTCCCTATAGGCCGTCTCTCATAAATGACATTTGATCCCCATGTACACAAAAAAGTAGCTTACTATTACCAGTAATTGTATGACAAATTTGGTGTGATATCTCTTTTTGTTTTACAGTTAAAAAGTCGTCATAAGACTTAATTGTCGCCCTGTATATTGATTACAGTTGGTATTGTACATGACATCACATCCATAGCTAAAGGTTTCATCGTTTTAATCTTCTCTTTAATCATAATGTTTACATGTTGTTTGCGGTACATGTAGGAACTCACTTCTGGGTGTCAACATGCATAACTCTGTGTTATGTGCAGTTTGTTTGGGATCCACACCGTTTTAAGATTATACACCTGGGCCTGTTGTCCCAGCTTGTCTTCTGCATTTTGCTGTACTTGTGACCTTTTAAAGACTGTTCGAGCTACTACCTATTATGTTCTTGTAGTATTACAAGCATAAACGCTGAATCACAATTCATTGCTATACATTGCTCTATCCGTTGGTTAAAACAGAATTTTAAGATTTTTCAAAACTCATGAATTTAGAAAATTGGTCCTGCATCCTTGACGCGTCTTGCCTTTACTCAAACACAGTGAATCTGTTAATTACTTAAATATTAATTGAACTAGAAAAAACATTATTCGTAATATTATTCGGTAGGGTGGTTTGCATTAGAAATGGATGTAGAAGAGAGTGCATGTTAAGTGGATGAGTTTATGAAAATTATCAGTATTTAAACATGTTTTCTAACAATTTCATGTTGCGAGTAATGTTATTATGCCTAATGATCATTACTTTATATTTGTTTAAAGATTAGCTCTGCAAAAGGGCTAAACATTTTTGTTTTATTTTTTTACATTCAATATTTTTCTGACTGTTTAGTGCACTCTAGAGAACATATGTTTAAAAGTCAATCCTTAAAAATGATAATTCTTAATAAATTGTTGGACATTTAGGCCTATTTAAAATTAATTTTATTTGATAAAAATAGCACTGCAAAAACGTGTTTTAAAATCAAACCCCAAACTCATCCCAGGTTTGATTAATGTATAAGTAATATTGATTATACATGAGAGTAACATCAATATTGATTAATTGATTCATTTTTCTCAATTGTATGGTGTTTATAATCAATTGTTTGTTCTAGGGTGGTTTGGTATAAGGAAGGATTTTTCACAGTTCTTACTTAGTATCTGTCCATTCCTTCAAGAGTACGCCAACATTGCTTATTCGTCGGGTCGTACCTCAGAGAATGGTGAACAAAACGAAGCCAGTTCTCAGCCTATGAAGGAGAAAGGTCATAAGAAGAGTGAGATGAACAAACCAGTTGTACCAGTAATCTCAATAGAAATGCCTGACTGAAAATTAAAAGTCCAAATTAACATGTTCATGGTTATAAAGTTACCTGATAAATGGAGCCCTCCCTTACTGACATGTATTTTCATCACATTTTTAGAAAACAAAGTTAATTTTGTTTTGTATATTGTTAATTTATTTTATTTTCATTCTTTAGAGATGATTTTATGATTATCTATGGGGGTGTTGAGAATACTGATTTATGAGTTGGCTAAATTATTAGATCAGACATTATCAGCTGTGCTGATCTGAAGCCATATAGTTATTAGATTAAATAAATAGGTTTATTGTGAAGTCTATGTCATTATTATGAAATAAAGTAATGATACTAAAGTGGAAATAATTCAATTTATGCTATTTATTTATACTTAATAAATTATATATATATATATACCGGTACATAAATATTTCTTTTGTATACATTTTTTTCATGAAGGAATACATATTTCTTTGTTTTGTTACAAATCAACTTTGTTTTTATTATAGATAATCACAGAAATATAATTGCTGTGTACTTTATACCTTATATTTAAAAATGACGTACTGAGGTTTTACTTTGAATAAAACTCTATGGCGGTACTTGCTGTAAAACACTTTCTACTGCGAGTGCCTAGTTTGATTGACACAGGCCAGATTTCTTGTTCTCTTATATTACTTTAAAACTGCCACCTTATGTAAAATTTTTATTTATGCCAAGTGCACTTTGATATTTGTTTGGCGTTTCATTTAGAATAGGTATAATTGTATTAGGATAAAAAGTATTATTTTTGCTGAGCAGATTGTTTAAAATTTAAATTATATTCAGATTTGTATAATCATAATTTCAAAGGGCTGCCCAGAAAGTAACGACCGACGTAACCACAGTTTGGACTGAGGTAATGCTGCCATCCATTTCCACTTGTGCCTTTTATATAGTGGAGTTTTAAAATTGCCTCTAAGATTGAAGTTCGCACATGTTATCTAGTGCTTGGTGTTTTATGTTTTTGTTTTCAAAAAGCTATCAAGTGATTTACATTTTTCGCTGAATTTTCGACATGTACACCCGAGAAATAATGAGTTAGGCGGTAATGCATTGCTTTTAAAATGCCTGAATAACTGTTCATAATAAATGTAAAGTGGTAAGCTTAGTCTTTCTTACATCTGATAAATTGGTAGTAAAAACGATCTGTGAAAATCTTTGTTTCACTACTAATGAATCTCAAATAGTTTTCTCTGAATCTTTTGGAGTAAAGTTCATGAAATCAGAGCAAACGTAGATACTAAAAATTCTTTACGGAATGATTTCTGAAATTCCTAAAGGGAAATAAAGATTTGCTGTAGTTCTAAAATGTCTGGAAGAGCCAAAAAACTGTCATAAAAACCATATTATCTAGCAGTAATTGGTGACTTGAGTAACGCTTAAACGTAATAACAATCATGGGAATGGGGTCGAACGCATATGCACAAGAAAGCCTAGTTTTAATTTTTCTTTACAATTGTCTACAAACGGAATACCGCAAACTGTACGTAAGATCCAACCATCCTCCTTACAGCCTGGATTCGGCACCAACTCTAGACTAAACTCAACGCTGGTGGAAACTAGTGGTTAAACTGTCTGGTGGAAGAAAAAGACATTGACAATATTGTACCAGGCTATGATAATTACCTTAATTTAAAACAGAATTTACCTTAAAAACGTAAGAAAGTCTTTTTTCACTTTGTGTACCGTACCTATATTAGTATTCAACAATTCTGTTACTTTCTGGATAGCCCTCATACCTTAATTTAAATTTAAAAAATAGAAATATTTTGTTAAAATTATTACCACAAGTTATTATGAAGGTACTTTAATGAGTTTACGTATTAAGTATTAGTTTCCCAGTTTCTGTACCAAGTTTCTGATCTCTCCCTTGATAAATAAACATTTTCAAAAAGGAATTTTTCTCATTTAATTAATTAATTTTAATTTAATTAAAATTTACAGTTAATTTTCCCTTTTTTATGGTTTGAAATAATTTATTAAAAAATAAATATAATATTTCAACCAAAATTGATCTACCAAGCTTGAAGAAATCATCCTATCAACGGGTTGTTTACTAAATATAATTAAATCTATATTTCTTATTAAAGGATATATTTCACAAGTACTTTTCTCTGTGGTTTCAATATCAGAAAGCAAATTTACCATGTCTATTTTGTAAAAATGTTTTTAAATTTGGTGACAATAGGAAACACCAAAGCATACTATACATATTTTAAAACAGTCCTCAGCTATTCATCAAGAAACATTTAATCCACACTACTGAGAATACTAATCTATAAGAAAGTAAATAAGTTAGTAATACATTTTTTGTCATACGTTTGCTCTTTGAGGCAATGTGAAGAAATTATAAATCTTGCACAACACTTTTTTTCATAATGTTTGGTGAACGTGTTACATAGTTTGTTGGGTATTTTTATTTAATTTGATATCTAGTATAAGATCTTGTAGCAGCTATTGTTTATAGCAAATTGTATCACGAGTATGACTTTAATTTATTTATCCTGTAGATTTAAAATGTCAGACTGTTTCGTTAATTAATTTAGTATGATTGTTTGACAATAACTTTTATTACTATTCAAGCTCAATTAAACCAGTTACATATACATATTTTTATATAATGTTTGAATACTGTACATATACAAAAAGTACAATGAACATAATTGTATAGTAATTTAAAAAGTTACTTTACAGATTTTTTTTGCATTTATCATTCAAATATTTTTTCTACGGAGAACTCGCATATGCTTTGGGGCTTAAAGGATGTATATTTAAATTTTACTCTATATTTTTAATAATGATTATATGTTATTTTTATATTTGATTTCTTGTTCAGGTTCTCTGTCCGTAATAATTAATCTACATGTACGTAAATAATATGAGTTCATTATAATTAATGCATAAATTTCTAATTTGTTTCAATTCGTCACATGTTTTCCTTATAAAAGAATTTTCTGTTTATCCTACCCATGTAACTTTCATATAAAGAGGAATAGAAGCTAGTTTATTGATTTCAAATAATTGTAATTTTTATACTACACATATAATCTTAATTTGAAAAATTACCAATTTCATAACACAAATAGGTGTCACATAAAAAAATATTGAAATATTTTGTTTTCCTCCAAGCAGCTTGTTAATTAACTTAACTTGAAAGTTGCCTGTTTTTTTTAATAACATTACATTATTTGAAACAAAATTAATAATTTGTGGGCTGATAAAATATTACTTGAACAAAAACAATAGGCTCACAAACTTAAATCATAATTTTTGTTTAATACCCTGCCTACAAAATATTTGTATAAAACCAATGTAAAAACTTTCAAATTTAAATTTCTATTTAAAACATAACAGATGACTGCTGAGAAGTAATTCAATAAAGCAAGAGGAACCAGGTTTATGGATAAATAAATGTATTCACAAATTACATTAAATAACTATTCTAAAATTTGATTAAATATTGCTCTAAAGGCGATTTTAGACAATGTATTGCATTTTCGTTTCATTTTAGTTTTAGTTGTACAGTGTAATCACTTATTCAAGGACAAAAACATGCCAAATGATACTTGGCATGAAGAACATTTGCACAAAATGTCACAAATTTTAAACTTGCTTCTACATTGTTCTGTCATGAGTTGTTTGAAGAAAAATTGGACAATTTAGAAGCTATATGTAGAAGTATAATTATTATTACTTACGTTTTGTATCATAAGAGAATCAAAGACACTATGTGTAATTGTACTGCTACTGTAACTTGCTGGTTTGTGTTATAAAAAAATACTTACATACAGAATCTTCTTCATCTTTACTTGATAGAGTTTGGACCACTAATTACTATATAGTATTCATTCAGCCATACAAATAATAAGCTGAAATTTTTATTGTGGATGTTTAGAACAAACCTCTGTATAGATCGTGACATCTAAGCTAGCACTTGGCCTAGCGCAGGCAGTGTAGGCGAGAGGAGGGTGGATGTAGAGAAAAAAACCGGACTGCAAACATTTCCGCTGCCTCACAGGGTTTACTCCCCTTGTATTGTGTACTTTAGCGCCTTTATATGGGTCGCGAGGACAGTTGATGCAACCCGACCCGCATGAGGAGATATATGTTTTTGAACTAGATACTAGTAGCGATCGGCCAAGTGCCAGCTTAGAGTGTCACGAGCTGTAATGGGGGTTCTTAGGGTAATGCCTAAAAGTAGTTTTTAAGCTTGGATGTATAAATGTACAGAGTAAGTTAGCTCGTAATGTTTTGTACTATGCCTCAAATTTGGAACTATTTAATTAGTATCCACGTGTAACAATAATAAAACTTTGTTATAAAAACACAAACATAGAATCGATGTTTCTTCGTATAACCTTAGCCAAACATTCAGATAAAAAAAGAAAGAAGATATAAATAGAACAAATTTTCTCATTAGAGTTAAAACAAAGTCCTCTCCATAATTCCTGTTTTCCTAATCCATGTTTTAGTGAATTTCCCATATAGAGAATAAGTTATTACTGTAGGTCTCATGGTAAGACCTGGGACCGCTTAACTTTTTTGTGTTGATGAAGCCAAAAATACCATCCATTCAAAGCAGTTGTTTTGAAAAGCAGTGTATTTTTGTACTGAAAACCGTTTCAAATAAAAGACGTTTCTATTCTATTCTATTCTAAAGAACACAGTAAAACCTCCAATCCCCGCCAAGCTTCTTAAGCTGCGAGAGACCATTGAAGACTTCTTTTGGAAAAATATCGACCAATATAAAAAGAATACTCTGTCACACACCAAGCGACAAAACATGGTGGAAGGAAAAAAACATAGGTGTGCTATTCCCACATATTCTGACGTCACTCGGATTGCAAACAAAAGATCACCTGATTGTAACTGTCAAATTAATATATGTATTTGTTTTGATTTGGTTGTTATTGTTTTTATTATTATAAAAACAATAACGCTCTAATGAAAACAAATACATACTAATTTGACAGTTACAATCAGGTGATCTTTTGTTTGCAATCCGAGTGACGTCAGAATATGTGGGAATAGCACACCTATGTTTTTTCCTTCCACCATGGCGACAAAACATGACCGAGATGGACTGCCCTCCTCCCAAGGAAAACAGAAACAACTGCAAGAACCCAACTCAAGTCAACAATCCAATCACTCTACAGTGCCCCACACTATAACCTCTTTTATAGAAACAAACAGCCTGAAAAAGGCAAAAGAAAAACCAACAAATCACCAAATAATTCTTGTGTAGCAATAATGCACCAAAATATTAGAGGACTTGCTACAAAGACGAACAGACTACACCATATTTAATGGCACAAATCCAAGCATTCTAGTCTTGACTGAACACGGACTAAAACAGAAAACAGAACTAGAAGCTACAAAAATGCCCGGCTACTCTTCAATAACCCACTTTAGTAGAGAAGAACATAAACTTTGAGGCGTAGCAATATATTCCAAGGAAACCTTTGCTGATACAGTATCAGCTATTGACATATCAAACATATGCCAGGAGCTAATTTTTGAAGCAGCAATTATTCCCATGCAGACAACAAAGAAAAAGGATATCTACATTCTGGGAATCTTTAGACCACCAAGCAAAAATGCAAGAATTGCCCTTGATCTCCTATCGGACACGCTAGAACTACAAGGAGTACACAAGAAAACCCTCTTCGGGTGACATAAATATCGACAGGCTCGCCCAAGATACCAAAAACACCATGCTGGAAGAAGAGTTAACCACACAAAAGATCTGGAGATTTCCTCTAGAGGCCACCAGAATAACCCATGACACAGCCACTGCCATAAACTGTATATGCTCAAACAATCCATATGCGGATATTACTGGACAAGTTGTGCATACTGGTCTATCTGACCACACTGCAGAGCTGTGCCTGCTGAAAACACACCAAGAAGACACTTCCCAAAGATTTTTAATAAAAAGAAGCCTAAACAACACAAACCTAAACAAACTGAAGGCTTACCTCCATCTACAAAATTGGGAACAAGTTTACTTTTCACCCAATCTTGAAACCTCCTACAACAAATTTCATGTTGGCAAGGGCCAAGTTTGGTTATAAGTTTTTAACCTAGGCCCCATGGGTTGGAATCGACACCGTCCCTTAATGTCTCCCAGTAATTGCATTTGCTCAGGTTGATGGATCGACAAAGAGACCTACTAGCCACCTTGTAAGCATCCGACTTACGATGTCTGTCTACGGGTTCTCTGGCCCAGGTAGCAAGTCTTCTGGCACTTCCACAATCTCGGCAGTTCACCAGTACACAGGTCACATATTGCACCAGGATCTCCTGTGAGGCATTGACTCATCGCAGGCCGAGACAATCAGCCCCATCATAGATGTAACTAACACTTCTGCGTGAACCACACCAGTTGCGGGAGGAACCACCGGCGTTCCTCGTAGCATGGCCTCATTGAATTTTGCCACGTCCAGTTTTTTTTAATACCTACTTGTCTCTGTTGACCATCCAGGACATAAAAAATTATGTATTGGTGGTCACTATAGCTGTGTAATCCTCCAGGACTCTCCAGGCTCTGATCCTTGGCAAAAGGGACTCAGATGCAAGGGTAATGTCTGGGATCGTTCCCCGCATCCCAGGGCACCGGAAAGTTGGCGTGTTGCCCTCGTTGACGATAACGAGTCCGGCTCTGGAAGCAAAGTCCAGAATGTACTTGCCCCGGGAATTTGTGAGGGCCATTCCCCACTCGACAGCCATAGCATTAAAAACCCCACCCTTGACAACGTGTCCTGTGGTATCGCGCACGCTCTCTTCCAAGCGGTCTATCTTTTCACGAAAGTCACGAAGTCGTTGGGAGTGAGGTAGACACTGAAGTAAGTGACATCCCTGCATCGAACCCAAACGAAACCTTGGTCCTTCGCGTGACCCTACACTTGCACTTTAGCTGCATTCAGTGGCGGTTCCAGAGAGGGGGCCATGGCCCCCCCCGAGAATCAGGCTTTTTTATTTATTTTTTATTCAAGCTTTAATTTTAAAAATTGCCGCGCGCATCCCCGTTTCCCGCCATCCTATGCCTTCGTCACGTCAGTGCGTCAGTCATACAGTACCCTTGACAACGTGTCCTGTTGTATCGCGCACGCTCTCTTCAAGCAGTCTATCTTTTCACAAAAGTCAGGATGGCCTCGTTGGGAGTGAGGTAGACACTATGAAGTAAGTGACATCCCTGCATCGAACCCAAACGAAACCTTGGTCCTTCGCGTGACCCCCCACTTGTACTTTAGCTGCATTTTGCATTATGCGCCCAGAATGCAGAAGTACCAAGACTATCAGGGAACCAAAAAGATGGGTCCCTATCTTGGTACTGGTACTGTTTGCTGGCTAAGAACGTATCGACATTGTGTTCAAGGTTAAGCTGACAGAGAAGCGTTTCAGCAAACCTGGATCGCTCAAGATTGCACTGAAGGATTGTAATCTTCGTGGGAGGGCTTTCGCTTGCTGTAGTGAAGCTTTAAATACACTAAATTGCCCAGACCCAGCTATAAGCTTCAAGTGTTTTTCAGAGAGCCCATTTTCTTTGCAAAGGAAACAGGACCCGACTTGGCAGTACTTACAGATGTGACCCACCTCCCCACATCGAAGGCAGTTCTTGCTTTAGTCGGGTCCCTTGCAGTTTCGGGAGGAATGACCGAAACCGAGGCACATAAAACATCTCTTCACTTCCACCCTCAGTCTGAGCCTGCAGTTGACCCAACCAACTCTCAGATACTGGAGTGCCAATACCTTACTGGCGTGTGCGTCTGCCATTTCAGTGATCACCATCCGCTGCTGACACCTATTCGATTTAGTGAGTCACACCCTAAGAATAGCCGTTTGCCCGGCAAGCTCGGGGACAGCTTTTATTCATGGTCTCAATAACGTCACTCTCCGTCGACACACAATCAGTGTCTCGAATCTCGACTGATGTCTTAGGTCTAAGTACATGGACGGTGCCCCATGTACCATAAAAACACACGGTGCTTCAACAACTGCCCAAACCTCCATACCTCCTGTTGTTCTGCAGTAAAAGCGGCTTTGTCTTTCCACTTACCCAGTTCAAGGAGAACGTCCCCGTCCCGGGTTTGTCTAATCGACCGTACAACTGTATCGGTCTGCTGCGGCTTAGCCTTGGCCTTAATTACACCCTAGACCTTGGCGAAAGACCCCCTGAGTGTTTGACCAGGATTGTCTCCGTCTTGGGCTTTTTTGGCCATGGCTCTTTAAGAGCAGGGGCCGAGCCGGGCCTAGTTTGGGCCACTCCGGTTCGCTGTGCCTTCACTGCCACATTCTTCATGGAGATAATCTCCGCCCGCCTCAATTGCCTCTTCTCCTTTCGGGAAAGACGTTTTTCCCACGCAGCCCCAGGTGTAATCGGGAACTTCCCTGAAAGGGGGTTGTAGGTTTCTGTGGCTGTCGGTGCTTTGCTGGAGCTGCAGCTACGTCCGAAACGGATCTGGACAAAGGAGACTAGAGGTCTGTCTAAGTCGCCTTGGTCTTTACTGTGGTCTTATTGATTTGGAGGCCTCTCCGATGTAGGAGGCCTCCCATGTTTCTTAGAAGGCAGCGCTCTTTCAGCAGACAGGGACGCCACCTTCTCGGCAATCTTTTCCATGGCCGCCTTGCTCATCAGACGGCAGGCAAAAACAAAGCCAAGATCGTCCACTAGTTTGGCCATGTCGGTTTTGACCACTTGATTTGCAGCTTTCTGGGCCCGAAAGGTGTCCAGCATAGCCTTAATCGTCTCTTACATGTCTCAGAGCCGGGTTTCAAAGCTACTCTCTGCGTCAAGATATTCCTGACACATAAGCACTATCTCAGAGCCTTCCGCCCGCAACGTCGCTGTGAATGTTTACTCCGGAATCCCTACATCAGTACTGATCGGCAGAAGAGCTCCCGGTAACGCCAGTTCGACGACTACATCGCCAAAGTTTTCTGCACCATTCCCAACTTCACTTGCCGAAGGAGATCCTAAAGGGGGAACTTCGTAGTGCATTTGAAAGGTGCAGGTGGTGGAGATATCCTCACGTTTTTCGGTGGTGATGACCTCTGAACCTTGGAGCTACGAACAAAAGGCTTCCGCTCCACTTCCAACGTCTCTTCTTGCTCATTTGAGCTCCTAATCAATGATGTGTTTGTGGGTTTTTTTATTACAAGCCATCGTGTATTTTCCAGCGCATCGTGTGGCAAGGATCGGCCCGGAATAGGTCAGGAACCGTTACACCTTCAGGGATCAAAACCCCTACCCCAGTTCCCCGGGGCCCGACCACCGTTTGACCAGCACCGGATACCTGACCGGTCGCAATGCAGAGCCCGACCTCTACAT